TATATATATATATATATATATATATATATATATATATACATACATATATATATATATATATATGCACTGCAGACTTTATTCATCTCTTTGAATTTTTTCGCTTTTTATGGGTTTGCAATATGCGGCTGTCTTTGCATGCATGCAATAATAATGTTAATAATTTAAAATTAATATGAAAGCAATACTTAAAGATTATTAATTATACTTGTTTAAAGAATAAATAATTATATTAATAATAAAAACAAAAGTATAGCGCTGCTCAATGAAAATAAAGAAACTGTCTTTTAGATGTCTACACAAACTCAGGCTGCAGCCGTGGATAACAATTTTTTATTGTTTTATTTTATTTTTGTTTTGTTGCATCTGCTGAAAGCTCTATCTTCTCTTCTCTCTTGTGCTGTACATGCACTATTTATGCATGCAATTTAAACAGCAGCATTTAATTATCTGCAGACGTAAAATAAATAAAATATGCAAATAAAATTTGCTTCTAAAGGAATACTAATATGCTTCATTGCGTCCAACGATTCATATATATTATCTTTATTTGGTTTTCAGTAGTTGATTAAAGAGCTCACAGCTTCGAAAGGAGTTGTAGAAATAAACTGAATGAGTAGAAAAGAAGAAGAAAGTGCTGTAAATGATATATCTTTGTATATGTACGTGCAGCTTGTTGATTTGCTGGCTCCTCCTGAAGTAAAGAAGCATCCACCGCCCTTAGAAATAAAGAAAGACAGCGCAGGGATTGTTTCAATTCAGGGAATAACAATGAAAAAAGTTGTATCTGCTGAAGCACTTGAAAAGATATTTGAATTCGGCTTGACAGCTCGTCATGTCAGTGGCACTGCTATGAATGCAGAAAGCTCTCGATCTCACCTTATTTTTGCTGTAGTTGTTCGAATAGAAGATTTATTAGCTGAAAAAATCTCTCTCGGAAAGCTATCGCTGATTGATCTCGCAGGCTCTGAACGTGTTTCTAAGAGCGGTAAGCAGCTTGAATACCCTAGTGAATACCCTAGAAAGCTGTCTTTTCTCCTCGATTAACAGTATATAAACATGAAATAACATTAATTGTTCATGAAATCAAAATAAATAAACTGAAACAACGAAGATATATGACTAAATGCGCATCTTGAACTTCGGGTGTATCTGCAGGTGTTACCAAGGAAAGATTAGTAGAAGCGAAAGAAATCAATAAAAGTTTAACAGCTTTAGGAGATGTTATTTCAGCTCTTTCAAGCGGTAAGAAGAACTTCTTTAATATTCTTTTTTAATGAAACACCAATACCTCTTGCTTTCTTTCTCGTGCAATCTTCGGGCTCTTAGGTGAATGAAAGAGATGCAAATGCTCTTTCAAAGGAAATTCAGAAACAATCTTCAGAACATGTTGAAATAAACATTAAGTTTACCCTTATTCATATATTCTATCTTTTGGTTGCTCATTATTATCACTATATAAATATATATATATATATATATATATATATATATATCTATGCGCCCTACCTGTCTACGCATTGAAGCTGAAGTTGTTTCCTACATTTGTTCGTTTTCTGTCTCCTTCACTCTTCTGAGGAATCTCTCCTTAAGAGCAAACTCAAATGAAATACAACTCGGTCCTCTGCATGCATGCATGCATGCATGCATGCGTGCATTGAAGCTACAAGAAGGGTTATTATTATCGTGTGCTGCTGCTTCTGCTTCTGCTGCTGCTGCTGCTGCTGCTGGTGCATTTGCGCATGCAGGGGAGAGTTTTATTCCTTATCGAAACCATAAACTAACGCAAGTTATGAGCGACTCCTTAGGCGGCACTGCGAAGACTCTGATGTTTGTAAATATTAGCCCGGCGGATTATAATGTAGATGAGACTGTGACATCTTTGATGTATGCTTCGCGAGTGAAGTTAATTACAAATGAAGTAAGGAAGCAGCCGAAAGCAGCAAAAGAAATAAATATATACAATAAGAATAACAGCAAATGCAGCAAACATCATCATCTACCGCATGCAATAAAATTTAATTGCTGATACAAGATGAATTAAGAGTTGTTGTTATGTTTTGTTATTTTTCTGTTTTATTCGTTTGTTTTATTTTATCTATTTTTATCTTTTATCTTCCCATCACAACGATGTTTATTTTGCTGCTAAAGACAGCATCTATATAGCTGTTGTCTTTGTTTGTTTTTTTCTGTTTTTCTTCACAGTCTAGCAAACAAGTAGAGTCTAAACAAATAGCGAGGATGAAAGAAAGAATAAAGAAATTAACAGCAGCAATAGAATCTGCAAAGCGGGGAGAGCCGATAGATTATTCGCTCTTAAATGAAGCTGAAGAAGAAGGACAGCAGCAGCAGCAGCAGCAGCAGCAGCAGCAGCTGCAGCAGGAGCAGGAGGGGTCTCGACAAAATGAAGACGAGGCGAACTATGAGGAGCCTGAAGATATATCCTTCTAAATAATAACAAGATAACAAGAAATAATAAAATAAATAAATAATTTTTTTTTTCTTCATTGTAATTGTTAGCAAATACAAAACAAAACAAAGACAGAAAGCCCGGCTTCTATATTAATAATAATAATAATAATAATAATTTGCTGTTTTATTTAAAACACTCGCTCTGCTTTCTGCGGTGTACACACGAAAGAAACAAACGGCTTTAACGCCAACGAAGTAAAATATATAATTATATTATATCCCTCGTTGCTGCAGCAAACGAAGAACGAAACAAACAACAAAAACACTCGCTATTTTGCTTCTCCTCATCTTCACACTCTACCGTTGCTGCTGCAGCACTAACTGAGCTGCTGCATTGAGTGCTGCTGTAGTTGCTGTCGCTGGAGTCTATGCTGCTGCACCTGCTGCTGCTCCGGTCGCTGCTCTTGCAGTTGCTGCTGCTGCACTTGCTGCTGCCCCGGGTTGCTGCTGCCACACTTGCTGCTGCTCCGGTTCCTGCTGCTGCTGCTGCACTTGCGCGCTGCTCCGGTTCCTGCTGCTGCACTTGCCGCTGCTGCAGTTGCTGCTGTTGCAGCTGCTGCTGCAGCGGCTTCTGCAGTTGCAGGTGCTGGCACTACATTCGATATATTGTTGCTGCTGCAGTTGATACAGTTGCTGCTGCAGCAGCAGCGTACCTGTTGCTGATGTAGCAGAGTAGCTGCTGCTGCAGTTATTTGAACTGCTGCATATCCCAAGGGACCTGCTACTGCTGCTGCTTCAAGTGTTGCAGGAGTATCTGCTGCTGCTGCTGCTGCTGCGGCTGCTGCTGCTGCTGCGGCTGCTGCTGCTGCTGCTGCTGCTGCTGATACCGGAATAGAACAATGATTGTTGCATGTCTATTTTGCTTTCTTTTTGTTTGATTGACCCCCCCAGGAGAACCGTCTTAAGAAGCCAGAAGCACCTGAGCTGCTTTTTTCTTTATGTGGGCGTTGGGTGCCTCCTGAACCCTCACCAATTTGCTGCTGCTCCTGCTGCTCCTGCTGCTGCTGCTGCTGCTGCTGCTGCTGCTGTTGCTCTTGCTGCTGTTGCAGCAGCATTTGCTGCTGCTGCTGCGGACCTGAAAGACTGCTAACGGATGTAGGCCAAGGAGCCTCTGGGTGAGCAGCACCTGTACTTACACCTGAAGGCAAGAACCCCGCTGGCTGCTGCTGCTGCTGCTGCTGCTGCTGCAAGTCTAACAACCCCGGGGCGCCTGGTGCTGGCAGCAGCCCCCCGTGAAAAGCTGGATATGTTCCTGCTGCTGCTGCAGGCTGCTGCAGCAAACCAGCTGCTGCTCCAGGTGGTTGCTGCAGCTGCTGATCTTGATGCTGCTGCTGCTGCTGCTGCTGCTGCTGCTGCCCTGGTGAGCCTGTAGGTACAAGCCACGTCACTCGCTGATTTCCTGAAGCTACCCCAGCAGCAGCACCAGGCAGTGAAGGCGCACTCATAGAAAAAGAAGCAGGTAAAGAAGCAGCAGTAGGGTAATGAGGAGGAGGAGGAGCAGCAGCAGCAGACAAAGAAGCAGCAGAAGAAAGAGAAGCAGCACTAGCATACAGAGACTGAGCCCCAGGTACAGGTGCTGCAGAACCGAAGGGATTAATTGAAGAAGGCTGAGAAGAAGGAAGAGGATGAATGAATTGCGTTGAAGAAACATCATGGTGCTGCTGCTGCTGCTGCTGCTGCTGCTGCTGCTGCTGTTCATGAGCATCTTTCTTTTTCTTGTCTTTCTTCTCTTTCTTACTCTTTCCTCTCTTATGGCTGTCGCTCTCAGCTAATCTTTCTCGTAGATCATTAATCTCTCTCTGTAAAGACTCATTCTCAGCCTGTAGATCTGCTTCTCTTTGTGCTGCTGCTTCTTGTAGCTGCTGCAGCTTCTCTTCTGTATCTGTATTTGCTTGCTTCAGAGCAGCTTGATATTTTTTCTCTCTTTCTTCATATTCTGTTAATTTAACATTTAGTCTTTCAATGCTCTCTTTCTGCTTCTCTGCTGCACCTGCTGCTCCTTCTCTAAGTGCTGCTTCTCTATCTGCTGCCTTCTCCCCCCTATTAGCACTCTTTTTTAATGCTTCTTCTAGTGCTCGCACTTGTTGTTCAAGCTTATCTATCTCTTCTTGTTTGCTGCTAGCTGACACAACGCCGAATATCTGCTCTACTACGCCTGTAGGGTCTCCATACGCAATTGCGATAATAACAAGTATTAAAAATATATATCCTACAGCCATGCATAGACGAGTTAGATTTAATAAGCGTCTTCTTCTCTGGTTCTCACCCTGAAGCAGATGTACAAGTTGCTGACGACTAAGAGTTCTTAAAGCCTTCTCGCCGTACACTGCAACTGCTTCTTCTGCTTCTTCTGCTTCTTCTTCTGTAATTACACTCCCAATATCATCATTATTTGCTGCTGATAATCTTCCTCCTGATCCTGCTGATGATAATCCTCTTCCTGCTGTTCTTGCTGCTGCTGCTGCTCTTGCTGCTGCTGCTGCTGCTCCTGCTGCTGAAGATGCAGACCCTCCAACTCGTTCACCCTTCTTTTCTTCTCCTGCTGCTGCTTCCGCTACTCTGCTCGCATCATCTGCTGCAACAGACACAGAGTTTGCTGCTGCAGGTGCATGCAGCTGCAGCAGCAGCACGCCCCACAATGATAAACCAGCAACCAACAACAGCCGCATCTTCAAACAGAGAAACAGCTAATGATGCTGCTGTTGCTGCTGCTGCTGCTCCTGCTGCAGTCCATACGACTGCAGAGGGCGTGCTACCCAGCTGCGGCTTCCTCCCACTGCTGCTGCTGCTGCTGGTCTTGCTGCTGCTGCTGGTCTTGCTGCTGCTGCTGGTCTTGCAGCTGCTGCTGCTATCTTCGTCTGCTTCTGCTCCTTCTGCGGCTGGTAAGAATTGCCGCCTTAGCTAATCGAGAGACTAATGCTGCTGCTGCTGCTGCTGCTGCTGCTGCTGCTGCTCTAGCTAGGGGGGCCTCACTCCTCGTGAAGCCGCCTGCTGCAGCAGAAGACGAAGAGGCAGTGTCCCTAGTGCGTCTAGCTGCTGCTATTACTGATTCAGGAGGTGCAGCAGCAGCAGCTAAACGCTAGAAATGGTGTTGCAGCAGCAGCAAACCCCGAGAGCGCAGCACAGGGAATGAGCAGAGCCGCAAGCCTCTGCTGCATCCACTGAGGCAGCAGCAGCAGCTTGCAGCAGCAGCAGCAGCAGCAGCCCTCTTGGGGCTGTGAATGCAAACTGCAGCAAGAAAATAATTAAAATAATAAAGCATTTAAAAGGAAAAAGCATCTAAAGATGCAAACTGGGCTTGAGTATATCGGCCTCAGCAGCAACAGCAACAGCAGCAGCAGCAGCAGCAGCAACAGCAGCAGCAGCAGGCGGTGCTCGACGCGTCCCGCATGCAAAGGTTGCTGCTGTAGATCTAGCATATTCTTCTTTGTCTTTTTGCTTTTATTACTTTATTTCTGTTCGTCTGTTCTTCATTTGCTGCTGCTTGTGGCTAGCTGCTGCAGCAACACCAGAAGAAGCTCCTGCTGCCCTGCGTAGCCTTCTCGAGGGTTTAGGGTTTAGGGTTGAGGGTTTAGGGTTTGCGCTTCAATGCATCCCGTACTCTTAAGACACCCCCCTGCTGCTGATGCAGCTCAGGGAAGCTTCAACTCTGGTTTTGGCTGCCGAAGGGACACAGCAGCAGCAGCAGCAGCAGCAGAAGCCGCAGCAGCAACAGAAGCAGCAGCAGCAGCAAATTCAACAACAGATGCTGCAGAAGCAGGACTACCGCCACCACCAGCAGCAGGAACAGCACAAGAAGCAATCGCAAAGCTAGCAGCAGCTCTAACAGCAGCAAAACCTACACCCTCCCAAGCCCCAGGAGCAGCAGCAGCAGCAACAGCAGCAGCAGCAACAACAGCAGCAGCAGCGTCATCTTCTGCTGCTAAAGAGGCGGCAAAGGCGGTGGCATCGCTGCTGCAGCAGAGACGCAGCGAAAGCAACTACACTTCTTCCAGTGTACACACCTGCAGCAGCAGCAGCAGCAGCAGCAGCAGCAACAGCAGCAGCAGCAATAGCAGCAGCAATAGCAGCAACAGCAGCAGCAACAGCAGCAGCGGCAATGGTCCACCGACAGTCCCAACATCATCTTCACCGCAGCAGCAGCGTGATGCAGCAGCAGCAGCGGCAGCAGGAGGAGCAGTAGCATCACCAGCAGCAGCAGCAGCAGCAGCAGCAGCAGCAGAAGATGCTGACCCACTAGGCGAAGAAGCAGCAGCAGCAACACGCAAAGAAGGACCCCTTGTTGTTATTGTCACAGGCATGGCGGGCAGCGGCAAATCCACGTTGGTGAAGGCAATGAACGAGTAAACCCTAAACCCTAAACCCTAAACCCTAAACCCTAGAGGATCCTTTCTTCTTGGGTTTAGGGTTTAGGGTTTTGCTGGCGACGATGTTTTGCGTTTGATTGGCGGTTTATTTATGAGAGTTATTTAGGGCCTGTAGAATTGTTGTTTAGGGTTTAGGGTTTAGGGTTGTTGCGAAGGGTTATTGCTTAGCGTTTAGGGTTTAGGGTTTAGGGTTTAGGGTTTAGCATCGAGCCATTACTGTTGGTATTCTGTTCATCTGACTCTCGATATTAATTTCTCTTTTCTGCTGCTGCTGCTGCTGCTTCTGCTGCTGCATCTGCTGCTGCTGCTTCTGCTGATCTGTTTTTGTTTCTGCTTCTGCTTCTGCTGCTGCTGCTGCTGCTGCTGCTGCTGTTGGTGTTTGTGGGTGTTAGCCAATTGGTTAGTGAGGGATTGAAGACATATATAATAAATCTAGATCCAGCAGTGCTGCAGCTTCCTTACAGCAGCAACATTGACATCCGAGACAGCGTAGACTATAAAAAGATCATGCAGTACTATCGGCTGGGTCCTAACGGCGCAATTTTAACTTCTCTTAATTTGTTTGCTACCCGCTTCGGCGATCTGCTCAAAATACTTCAAAACAAATGCATCAATACCTC